CTCCTGGAACAACAACGACAAGTAAGCTTATTTTTGGATTACTATCAACATTTCCAAAATCTCCTCAAGACGATTTGTCGTTCACCACCAATCTCCTCTCTATTCCCACAGTGGATCCATCCTGAGTTTGAGTTCACCAGATATACCTGAACCAATAAATAATATTGGTTTTTTTACCTCAAGTTGTTTAGTCCTTGCTTCAAACCGTTCGCCTTTGACATCACCTACAGACCCTAACAACCACAGGGATGTGTCTTCAGCCCGCTACTTTTCATGCTGCTGACTTATGACTGCACTGCAATACACTGTGGCGTGGCAATCATGTCATTAAGTTTGTAGATGATGGCAGTGTTGGGATTCATCTCTCAAAATGATGCGTTGTCTTACAGGTGAGAAGTGGAATAACTAGAGGACTGATGTAGGACCACTAACCTCTGCCTTAATGTGGGGAAGAAAAACGACATGGATGTGAATTTCAGGAAGGCCACGGTGAACAAGTGATGGCTGTCTGACACCGATGCTCCGAAAGGCTACATTTTCTTTAAACCACTGCTTTGAAGCTTGCTTTGGTGCGGGAAAAGACATGTGACCAATAATGTCAGAAGCAGCCATAGGCCCAGCCATAGCTTCAGTCTCCTGAGTGAATTACATGACGGGTTTAAGCCACTTGGTGTCGCTTGAGTGAGGCAGCCTTGCTGTGCAAAATTTGCCAGGTGTGTTGGTGCGTAAAAGCAACATGTTGCAACCCCAAATACTATACAATATGTGAGTGCATGAATGAAGCGAGAGAGACTGGTAGCTTTTTGGCTGAGTGTTGTGGTCTTGTAATGCTGTTCTCAGATGTGGAACCACTTTCAGCTGATCAGTTCTAATAAGGTAGGTGTGTAATTACTCTTTGGTTTTGCTTCTACACCTGCTCGTTTATTTAATTTAAGCAAAATCACATCACTGGCTAATACTGTCAATGTGGCAGATGCAACAGTCTTCATGTATCCATTATGTATTTGAAGTCATTATTAAATTCATTATAATGATTTATCTAATAATTTGTTTGCATATTTTAGTGGACAAAGGTCTAGTGCTTGCTGTGTTTCCAGAAACGTATAATATTATTAACTCATCAATGGTGACCCTCCAGAATCAAGCATGAGGTAAAACTATACCTGCATA